GGGGGAGGAGAGAGGGGGAGGGGGAAGAAAGAGAGAGAAATAAAAAAGACCTTAAAAATCAGCCAACAACAACAATTTTTTAAAAAAGCCCAACCCTCCCTACCATTAGTTGAAAACAGAACTTTCACTGGTTGGGGCTTCTGAGTTGGTGGGACACGTCTAAGATCCAAACATAGCCTGTGTGTTTTAGGTGGTGGGGGAGGCACCAAGGCGGGATGAAGGCCCCTCAGCCTGGAGGTCTGCAGCGACCCTATGTACTGCAGGTCCTTAACAGATTTTGTTACTTGTGGGAGGGAGCAAGGGAGGGGGTGTAGAACATGCTTGTCAGGAAGGAGTCCAGGGCACTGGCTGTAGGGATGTCCCCAAGGTTAATGACGTCTTGTTCCCTGCGAACCTAAGTCGGAACATTCCCTACACTACCTCTGTAATTATAAACCTGGCCATCTAGAAGCTGAGGCCCTGATCCATGGCCTAGCACCTGTCTCCTGCTGGGAGAAGGGGCTGGTTTTCTCTCTCATGGTCCAAGGTCCTGCATTCTCCTTATATTTTCCCTTGACCATCTCTCCCTTACTGTCACTTGGCCTATGGGATAGACTGGTCAGAAAAGTGGGAGAAAATGTAAGAGTAGTGGCCCAAAGGGTCCCAGGAGGCCACTTTACTGGGGCCTGGGGTGTGAGAATGGTGATGCTACTGCTGCTAGATCTTTGTAGAATGAGGGCTGGGGGCCAGGTGGGCAGAAAGAAGCTGAGGTTACTCCCTCATTTCTATACTGGACGTGATCCTCTCCGATAAGATTCTGGGTTAGGGGACTGGGTGTGCTGGGACTTGAGGGAGAGTGGGCAGGATTAAACAGGTCAGAGAAAGTCCTCAGAGAAGGAGGCCTTTAACAGACTTGAAAGAAGCAAGAGAAGGAGCTATGTAGATATTTGTGGAATTTCAGAGAAAACAGCCAGTGCAAAGACCTTAAGGTGAGACTGTGTCTGACTTGTTCAAGGTCCATAAGAAGGCTGATGTGGTTAGAGTGAAGTGAGAGGAAGATGGGTAGGAGGTGAGGTCAGAGGGGCCAAATGGGATTAGACTATGCAGGACTCTGTGGGCCACATAAGGACGTTGGCTTTTGCTCTGAGTGAGGAGGAAGATGTTTGAGGTTTAATCAGAGAGATGAGAATAGTCTCAGAATTTAACAGAATCCCTTGACTGGCAAAGGTAGAAGGAGTGTGGGGTGTGAGGAAAGACGCAGGGGACCAGGGAGGAGGCTACTTCAATAGTCCAAGGGACTGATGACAGTGCTGGGAGTGGAGATGGTAGTAAGAGGGTGAATTTGGGAAATGGTTTGAATAGAGACCACACGGATTTGATGAAGAATGAGAGTCTTGGGGCTACGCCAGGACACAGTGACACCCAAGCTGGGTGGGCTTTGGACTACTTGCCAGTTTAAGCTTTTAGATTAGGGGGAAGAAAAAGTTCTATCTTGCTTAAGCCCCCATTCATTCATGATTTTTTTTTTTTTTTGTACCGGGGATTGAACTCAGGATCTTGAGCTTTCGAGGCAGGTGGCAGCACCACATTCATGTTTGTTTGTTTGTTATAGGAGAACATATTATTTTCTGACTCATTCTGGACATTGAGACCTAAACAGGAGAGAGGTTGTAGGGGAGGAGATGGCTCCCTCCTAGGGATGCTGTGGGGGTTAGACTGAGACAATGCCATGCATAGAACCTGGCATATGGTAGGTGTTCAGTAAAATTTCTCCAGAACAGAGGGCGAAAGTATTCATAGACATATTCAGTTGACAGAAGCTACAGTTCTGTTCCACAGGTGAGACCTTACAGGTAGTGCGAAAGGAATTAACTAGATTAAGGAAGCAGAAGAAAAGGCACTCTTGGAGATGGAACAATGACAGACATGCAGAGAGAAAGAAAAGTGATGCCACTGTAGGGCATGGGGTGTCAAACTGGGCATGAAAGGCAGGGCTTTGATTTTTGGTTACATTAGCCAGTATCTATCAATATACCCAATCAACTACTGGCTGTACACAGCGAGGCTCAGTGTTTGCTGAGCTGAAGTTAGAAAAAGCTAACCCTTTGCAAAGATCCGTTTCCCGTATGGCCATTCATTCATTCATTCAACAATAGTGTCAAGTCTTGGAGAACGCCTAGGATCAATGCGAGACATTAAGGAACAAGCAGAGGCATTCTGGGCTAGTGGCCGTTGGGGGACGGGAGGTGGATAGGGGATACGCAGTATCTGCGAAAGGAGAGCCTTTTGGCATTCTTTGGTCTCACATTAGGGTGCAGTCTAGGCCGTAAGGGATTCTAGCATTCAAAGAGCAAAGGGGAGTCACGGAAGTTAAGGGAGAAGGCAAATCCATCCCCCAGAAGTATATGCTTCCTATTGGTTGCCTACATTCTATAGTTCTGCTCTCAACTACGCAATAACCCAGGCTCTGCCTGCACACCGTTCTCCTCTCTAGCCTTCTTATTGGCTACTCGCTCCTTCCTTCACATCACCTACACCGCCCCCGTTGGCTCTGCTCTTCCCGTCTTGCCTCCAAGCCCTCCAGTACACTGTCCAGCCTTGGCATTGGTTATTGCATAGTAACACTGCCCTTGGAGGGCTCACAGACTTCACCCTGGCTCCCCTATTGGCTATCTGCCATTTCTCATCCTCGCGCCTGCCTTCATCCCCATCCCCATTGGCTCTGCTCCCTGTGGTCCCGCCCCCCCAGCCGCTCACACACCGCCTCTTGGTCCCCTTTTAGTCTCTGTATTGGCTAGTTCGGCCTTGGCACCATCCCTCGAAGCCCTAGTGCATGCCCACAAAACTCTCCATTGGCTGGTTGAAGGCGTTATCGTCATCTAGATTACGTCACCTGCACATGGCTCCCGATTGGCTGTTCCCTGTCTCTCGTTTACGTCCCACAGCCTACGCAAAAGTGGGATCTCCCACTTTTCAGACCTTTGGGTTCGCTTCTTACTGAGCCTTCGCCTGCAGTCATTCCACTTTCGCTGCTGCCTACACTCTCCCGCCCAGACTTCCCCTTTCGCGGTCCTGCTCTGCTCTTTGCCTCCTGGGTCGCACCCCCCAACACTCTGGCTGCCCCATTGATTCCGCGATCATCCCGCCTCCCTCCCCGCCCACTCTCGAGCATCTCCATTGGCTGCGTGCTTCTCCTGCTCTTCATTCAGTGTTACGTCACTCACACGCGGCTTTCCATTGGCTCTCTGCTATACCCATCTTCATTTCACCGCCTACGCTCC